GGGGGGGCGGCGGCGGGGGTCTGGTGTTTGTTGGGCTGGGGAGGGGGGGACGTAGGGACGTTGCCCCGCACGAGCCAAGCCTTGACCTCACTGGTCTTAAGGGAAGAAGCGGTCAGTGACATTTTCCGATACGCCAGTGACCTTTCGTTTCTGCTTTTATTCCTTTCCTTTCCTTTCCTTTTAACAGGTATTTTATAGTGCGTGTTGACTCTTATCCTTGTTGATATCCATTATTAAAATCTTAATTATGTGCTTTACGAGAATTTTTTCTCTCTCATAAACTAAAGCGATATTCAACAGGTATCGGCAATTATTCCCATTTTCTCGAATTAAAATGAAATGACATTATACAATAATATCCTTACCTTCTTCCCTTCAAAATACACACGATTTAAACACGATACTGGGTAAAATCAACTATCTTTGTCTATTAATTTTACAGATATTATTTTGACAAGCAGCATATTGTTTAACGCCCGATTTATTGGCACGGAAAACACATTTCAACATTCGTTGTGACTTTCATACATAATTATCTAAGCTCGTATATAGGTGCGTTCAATTTCTTTATCAATTTTTTTCTAACTAAGCATTTGTAATTAAACTTAATTTTTTTCGATTCGGTTATATATATATATATATATATATATATTTTCAAATACGGTAATTTAAAAAAATTAAAAATTATTTCCAATAATTTTTTAACAACGTTTTGATTATTTTGGTACAATTTTCGATATATTCATTTAAATGGAATAAATTATTAACTTAATGAGTGCATTACCGAATAAAATTATTCAACGTTCAAGGATATTTAGTATTTTTCTTAATTTGTTCACGTCAAGAAATCAAAATCTTCTTCAATAAATGTTATTTATGCTTTACTCGAATATTTAAATTCTAAAGGTATAATAACTATGGCAGCGAACAATTTTCATTTTCGAGGTATAATTTTAAGGCACGAGCCTTAACCGTAAATCATTATCCTTTATTGCAATTAGTAATAAAAGTTAAAAAAAAAAAACAAAAATAAAAAAACAAAACAAAACAATTGAATTCAATTTAGTTTAACAATAAATATAATTACAATAAATTAAAATTTTCGTTTCAAAGGATTATAAATATGTATTGTTTACCTAACATTGATTAAATAATGAACAGTCAATATAATTTATACTGGCTCATACGAAACAATGATTTAGCTATAATATTACAATATAATAAAGAAACTATTCTACATATTTATAAATAACATAAAGTAATATCAATCTTCGCAAATTCTATATTCTGTATATATATATATATAATCACATTATCGCGATTACACGATTGATGTACAATTTGAAATGCAAAAAAGTTTAATTAATTGGATTCTGTATTTTTCAATTTTTAATTTCGTAAATAAGCTTCTATTGTTGAAAAACTTTATATAAAATTTTATTTATCGAGCATTATAATATAAAATGATTGCCTTTATCCTGTAGGATGAATGTTGTACGAAGTAAAGACACAAATTTAATTTAGATTTATGAAGAAAAAAAAAAAAACGATATTAAAAAGTAATAAATAAAATAGGTAATAATTATACGTGTGGAGAGGAAAGGCGAAAACATTGTGAAAAGTTTATATAGAAACGAGTGGAATTTTCAAAATTTTGTTAAGAAGACGAAATTAATTTATTGTTCAACGGAAGTTTGGTTAAACCATTTTTAAGTCGCTTTTTTTATTTATGACAATTCATTATTTAGTCATCGACGAAATTTATTTTTCAAAAATTAACAATACACAGAGAAATCGGTAAGTCAAAGAAAAGCATTGTTTGATTAAAAAGAGTGATTCACTTGGCAATCGCGATACTGGTTTCATATTTATTTCGTTTTTTTCCTTCATCGTTTGCTTATCTACAAGCGAACGAGCCCACAAGAGACTTTCCCCGTCTCTCTTCTTTTTTTTTCCTCTACGGGGAATTCATTAAAGAGGCTCGACTGGTTTTATTGCCGAGCCTCCACGAGCTCTTTTAAACATCTGTAGAACAAACGGTGACGTGGCCGCCGTTACCTGAGGTCTATGAAATCCGGAGATACAAATCGCGCAAACACTCGAAACCCGTGAACCTGAACTTTGTTCAAAGCCAACGGAAGCCTATTTTTTTTTAAACTCGATATTAATTCTATAGGCTTATGCGTAAACAAGTTTCATAAGTTTCATGTCGAAAATAAAATACATAAATTATATATAAATAAGTTTGGCCATCTGTTTAATCAAGAAGGTTAAAATTAAATTCTTAATTCCTACAAAGAGAAGAGTGCTCGAAGAGCATAACGACGTCTCATATTACCGTTACCTATAAATTTTTTTTATTAATTATAAATTTTGAACACGTGCGTAGCCTGAGATTATCGGGATCGTTAGTATCAGAAATCACACGAGTTGATGAAAACATAAACATCAATTCAACCGATATTCGTATAAATCATAAACATGTATTTAATCTTTTTTTTTTTTTTTTTTTTTTTTTTTATCACTTGATTCATTTTATTAGACATTTCATTCGATTCAGAAATCTTGAAAGTTTGAAAAACAACTGATACAAGTTGGTTTATATTATTGAAAACAACAATAATTATTTCTATTATAATTTATAAATTTTTTAATTCTAAAATCAACACCACTTCGATTTTTGTTTGTTTGTTGTTTTTCTTATTTTTAATATCTACACAAATTTTAATGTTCACGTTTCGGAGTAATTAATGGATGAAAAATACAATTTTAATTAAAGATAAGGCAGTAAACATGTTTATGATATTTATTTAAAGTATGCCGTGCTACTCCCTATACAATGATGTGAACATTTTTTTTTCTTTTCTTCTTCTTCTTCTTCTTTTTGTTTTTTTATTATTATACAAAGTTACTACGATGAATAGAAAGATGATTATAAAATACATGTAACGATACAAATGAGTTAAATAATAAATTAGCGTATCGTTCAAACATGAAACTTTAATGCAAACAGCTTTCATTTAATCTTTTTCAATATAAAAAATAAATTTACTAATTTTCCATTAATATTTATGATAAGACGACTAGAAAAAAGAAAAATATCAATTATTTTTTATTAGGATTTTATAAAGTATTATAATACGAGTTTAATATTATCCTTTAAAGTCATTACGAAAACTTATGCGATATATTAATATTAAAATGATAATACGATATTTTTAATTAATTAATAATTGAGAGTCATATCGCACCTTTAAATCAATTTTTCTATTGATTGTAAATAAACGTATAACAGATGCATTAGGCATTCCTTATTATGCAAAAGATGCTTTAATTCATATTGAAATTTTGCTTTTAATATTTATTATAAACGTATTAATTAGTATTGAATTGTACGAATGTATTTGAAAAAATTCGTTAAATTGTGCTCGATTTTTAAATACACATAGGTACTGTTAAAATCCATTAATAATAGATGAAAATTTTTCAACGATTAATGGATGGCGAATCGACAGATTATAATCGTGCCAGTGAAAATACTATTTATGCAATTGTCAAGTAGTAAAACGTAAATTTTTTCAAAATTTAATCACAATTATGATAATTTGTTATTTATTTGAAATTATTGTTATTATATGTAACGTATAGTCTACCTTAAATATAATGATTTTATAAATAATGAAAGAACTATTGAAGTGATTTTAAGACTTAGCGTGTGGTACATTGTTTTTCAACAACGACGGTTATTGTGTTGTAATATTAAGAAATGTCATGACTTGATTGTAAAGTGTGATATTATAATTTGTATGAAGAAAATCAGATCAATACACAATTTATAGTGCGACTTTTGATTTAAATTTCAAAGAGGATATATCGCGTTAGACCTAATCGAGCATTATATTATTGGCACAAAGTTGAATAAAGGTGAACAAATGTTTATTTTGCTTGCGAAGAAATAGTTGGTAAATTTTTACGATACTCGTTAATAATGTAAACGCTTAACGATGCGCACAATAATTTGAAAATAATTTAATATCAAACTTATTCAATGTTAATTTATAATTAAGATGTAGTTTATTCCTATCTAAGCATGATAATAGTTACGCCGTCTCAAATTTTATTAATTTAGATATCTTTATCAAATGTTTAACAAACCTCAGGAAATAATGTAATCTTATCTTATTATTATTAAAGAAGAGGCAAACGTATTTATGTGCGATAAAAAATTGTCTGCTTAAAGCGATGATGTACACGTCAAGTGTATATAATTTTCTGTTTTTTTCTTTCTTTTTTTTGTTTTTTTTTTTTGTTTTGTTTTTTGTTTTCTGTTCGTGCATACTTATTATTAATTAAATTAGAGTCTACAATTACATTACAGAGAATAATTTTAGAGAGTTTGAAAATAAGACAAAACTTACGAATGTTTCAATATTATATTTTTTACAATTGCATATAATGTAGTGAACTAACTTTTCTTATAATAAAATGATATTTTATTTATTTGATTTAACACATTTTACGTATAAAGTTTAAAAAATAAAAAAAAATCAAATAACAAAGCCACATTTTATAAATGTATAAATTTTCGTTCTAGGTCGAGTAATGAAAGACGCAGTTACGTACAATAAGGTATATTTGAAATTTTTTATTAATAAAGACAACACATTATTGACGAAGGTTTTGTATATATTTTAACAATTCATTAAAGAAATTTTATCTTTATAAATACAGCATGTAATTTACATGTAATAAAATTAGACTATAATATATAATAACAGTAAATATCTTGATTGAATGTTATTGGTAGAATATAAAAGCTCTTGTTTTTAAAATTATGTATACAAAGGTGTTCGTATTTGCATAAACCCCGAAGTGAGATTAAATCAACCATGAAAACAACGAGGATATTGTAAAAATAATATAAGAAAAATGTTAAAAGATTTGCAACGTGGCAAAAAAAAAAAAAAAAATAAATTTATATAAAAAAAATAAAAAAAAAAAAAAAAAACGGTAAGGGCAAATATCGCGAGGAGGCCATCTTGATTCGTAGGTCAACTTAATTGTGCGAAATTGTTCAATTAGACGTGTGCATTGAAAAACGACGAAATAAAGGGCGAAATAAAAGGCGGCGAACAATGATTCGAATGACATCGGAGAATTTCCCGTGGCTGATGAGCGAGCAAAACAAAGTAAGCGCGCGAAAGCAAACATTTAGCGGACCTTCGGTGATTTTGCTGCGCGATTAATCGAATGGACTTTGTCACGAGAGCTTATCGTCCGCTCAAAAATACGTTACATCGCTTTATCGTCTGCCGCTCCTCCGTGTTGGCCGCCACCGACACACGAGCATCAATGAATTTGCTTGCGTAAGCAGTGAATTACTCTCAATAATTGTCTGCACCCTGAATTCAAGAGATATGCGACAATACGTATAATCCAATCAAGGTCTTCCACTCTTTGCATTTCGGCGCGCAAAAGTACTTGAACATAGAGTGGAAGATACTCGTATTTTCCATTCTGTTTCTTATTTTTTTTATTTGTGTTTAATTTATTTTTTATTATTTTTTTTATGTTTTTTTTTGTTTTTTTTTTTTTTTTTTTTTTTTTTTTTTTTTTTTTTTTTCTTTATTACGCTCTCAACGGGACGCCAATAATAAATACAAGAGAAAATCGTATACGAAGTTATGTAATGATTTTAGCTTCCTGGCAGTAATATGAATAATAGTGTAGTTGTCAAACAAATGCTTTTCTAAATACAAATTTATATGACTCTTCTAGCTTTAATAGTAAGCTAATTTGAAAAAGTAATTTGAAAGAAAAGTGGAGTTTTATGTAATATCGACAACAGAAAAAGAAAAGGAATATAATAACGTACGAATGTGTCATTTCCATTAAAGTTATTTCACGTTTTCAAATCCATCGTAACAAATTTTAAAGCTAAATTAAGGATTTAATGAGTAAAGCACACTTTACCAGAGCAGGTAAATTTTTCCAACCACTTGAACTTGACCAGACGAATTGACTAAGCGTTTGATCTGGAACATCTACCTCTCCATAAGCACTTTTGAGCACAGTTGTGCTGTACTTGCCAAAGCACATGGACTGAAAGCTACTAGGCTTTAATTTCAGTCTACGAGCAACAATTTTGCAGGATGTAAACATGTTTTGTACTGATAAACAACAAGATCAAGTAAGAATCCTAAGTACACTGAATGCTGTATCAATTCCCTTGATTTTTATCAATAAAGTATTATTTATTATGCAATTAATATATGAAACTTTTTTTTCTGTATGTATACGTATATATGTAAACATATGTATATATATATATATATATATATATATATATAT